GGACATTCCAGCAGACAAATTGCTAAAATCGTGGGATGTGGCCATTCAGCAGTTTTGGCTTGTATAAACCGATACAACATTACTGGATCAACTGAAGCAAAGCCACGTTTTGGACGACAATGTCTCTTACAATCTTCAGATTGTAAAAAGCTTAAACAATTAGTGACTAATAAAAAAAATCATCGGAAATGTGCTAGGGATATTCAGAATCTTTGGAAAAAGAAATCTCTGTCTCAACCATTCGGCGTGCACTTAACTCGGTAGGACTTAAAAATTGTGCTGCTCGTCGTAAACCGTTTATTGCCATTGAATTTTGAGAAGAAAAAAAGAAACCTAAAAATCTTAATGAGCTTGAACGACTGGGGAGAAAAAATTGGAGTCGATTTCTTAAGATAAAATTAAAAGACTTATCGAAAGCATGCCACGACGAGTTCAAGCAGTAATGGCAAAATATTAGACCACTAACAAAAGATTTAATTCAATAGTGTAGAAACAATTTTTATTATCGTGAAAGACACTGTTGTTATAACAAAAAACTGAGCAATTCACACAATAAGAGAGTGTCCGTAAACTTTTGAGTACCCTCTGTACGTGTCTTCGGTATCTTCCAGCTCAGCATCATTTAGGGGTAACCATAGAGTGTATCGAAATGTGGTAAAATCACCATCACCATCAATTTTACAAGCAGCCGACCCGGTTTGAAGTATTTTATTAGAGATGTGTTGTTCACAAGTTGATATAATATAGAGAACTGTAGATATGTTTGCTATCATGGTTGATGAATTTGATGATGAGATGTCCTGCAAAAATGTCACTATTTATATTATTTGCGCCTATATCTTTACATACGACAGTTGCATGATATCTCCATTATATGGTTCTTTACAATCACACAATATAACGATAACTGTACATATTTTTAATCGTATGACTTTTTGCAATCATACAACTGTTCAATCAATTCCATTTTGAGGCGTAATTTATTTAGACAGCAGTTTAACAACAATGGCTTAGATCGTATATGATTCGGTAACCATAACCAAATAAATTATTGTTGTAACAGTGAGAAGATGATCACTGATTTAAACAGCAATCTAACAACAATGTTTGGCTGTTGTACGCTTAGGATTTACTTTTGAAATGTCAATCACAACCAAACAAACTATTGTTGTAACAGTGAGTGTATGTGCATAAGATATATTTCATAAGCTAAAGTTGTAAGAGATTCAATTAGAAAATGTAACGATAATGAATCTGCTTGAAACCCAAAATGCTAAGGTAATAAGTAGCTATGACGGAAATAGAGTACTTTATTATACGTTCAGTTAATAAACTATAAATAAAAATTATGTTATACCCTTAACGATTTCTTAGATGTTTGCTTTGGGTAACAGTCGTGCGACACAGAATCGCAAAAATTTTAATTGGCAGAACCGACCCTCTAATATCCCAAGCAGACAAGTTATTGCTGATATTCGGATGTCACAAGCCGCAGCTACACCAAGCTCCACACAGATTTATTTCGAATGCTATATTGTTATTATCGATTCCTCTTATTTGTCGCTATCCTTATGTTTAGTGGCAAGGCAATAATATTCTAGAGAGTCGTACAGTGATTATTCAGCAAACAGATGAAAATACGAAATACACAGTGAAAACAGACGCAGTGATCCAACATTTTTCTCCGTTAAATCAAGAAATCGCTAAATCGAGTTTTCAAATATATAAGATGTTGGAAAGCGAACGGTGTGGATTGGCCATGAAAGTTCTCCGTGCCATAAAATAGGCGGTAAAGCGACATTGAAGTGGAATTCAAGCTCGCAAGGCCTTTGAGATTTTGTCGAAAGAAATTCGTTCGTTTCACAACACTTCGCTGTAGATCCAGAATGATTTCAAAGCGATCATATATGGTGGCACATGCAAGATACAGTCTCGAAAATTAAATTTTCGTTCCCAACGCAACCGTTTTAAAAAAAAAGTTTCTCGCTTATAATAATAATTCTCGCTTTTTAATAATAATAATAATAATAAGCAAAACCATTGATCCTGATACACGGAACACCTCGTTCTTGATACACTTGCTGGGG